CGGACACTGCCAGAGTGTGGGAAATGGAAGCTGTGAAATCAATGACCAAAGATTATAATATATCGTGAACTCACATCTGCGCGATGCTCGTCCAACTTAGCATGATCGAATATTCGGAATACAATGTTGAAAAGATCCCTCCACCACTCAGACCGGAATTCATTCCCGTGGTTTTTCATGATCTCGAACATCACTGTCAAACTCCGAGTACGAACATCCAGCTTACATCGATTTATGATACAACTGAATCATTCAAAATAAAGCAACAAAGAAGAAGATCAAACTGTTGAATTGAGTCAAAAGCAACAAAACTTACCTCAGCTCGAAGAAGATGGGAAACCATCCACGAAGCCATATCCGCTGATCTCCAGACACGCTCCATGATTCCTCCCATGGTGCTTCGACAATTCGCTCTTGGTTAATGGAGACGTACCTATACAGAAAAAGCAGGATGATTCCCACAATACAAGATAACGTCAAAACTCCGGATGAACAATTTTGAAACCAATATTTTCTTACTCTCCACAAGAACGAATGAGTCGTATAGCTTCCATGTTCATATCGGGATGATTGGTATTGCAAGCGAACTCCGCCAAGCATTTCAATGCTTCCTGTAAGATATATATTTGTAGTGAACACTAGCGAAGACCTGAGCCTACCTGGAATGCATCCAGCACTGAGGCAAAATCCTCCTTGAACTGATAAAGTACCACACGGGAGCTAGCAAGAAACGCTGCTTCGACAATATCTTTTTGCACGTCACCTGAATGATATCGAATAGACTGGGACAGAGTTGAATTTATCACAAACCAGCAGCCAGTGTCCAAACTGAGAACAAGTTTTGCCAGCCCGACTTTATCCGAGGAGCGTGGGCTTCCACCAGGTTCGAACAGCAGGCGACAACCAGCTCGCGCGTTTGAACAGAGCGATTTCTTGCCATGATGACCTAAACAAACCTTATCGAAACTTAAACAACATTCACAACTTGCTGACCTCGAAAGGTCGAAGAAAATCTTTCTGGAATCGGAAGTTTGGCAGTTCCCCTCTTTCAAGAAACTTTATCGCCAGTTGTCGGAGAGCATCAACAGAATAATGGGCTACGACTTCGCTCGCATTACATCCTAGAGCAACAAGTTTACAATAATAATCAGTAATGACATAAAAGCCAACCTATAAAGCTATAAAATCATTGGGAGGTATTTCAAAACTCTGCCAACTACAGCAAAAACAGAATCATCGCAAAAAATGAACGCTATCGTCTCAACAATAAGAAAAAGAGTCAAACAGAATGGAAAACAACATACCAGCCATATTAAAATGCTCGCCGACCACTTCCCATACTCGCCGCCACTCTAGTCGAATCCTTCCCATGTTATAAAATGCCACCTAAAAATATTGTGATGGTGATAACTGGAAGTGTAAGGCAGTAAGATAAAAAAAAGGCCATATAAATGATTTAACTCACCTCGACTAGTTTCCCTAGAAGGAACATTCGCGGAGCAGCTGGTTGATTCAACTCTTCCTTGGAAACGGCACATAGAGCGCGCACAAAATAGACAATAGCATCCGCTGTCAAACGACATGATCCTTGGAATATCCTGAAGGTATTCATTCCATGAGAAGCACAAGTGTTAGAAATGGAGAGGAACAATCTTTTAATTTTGAACAACAGAAAAATGTTCTTGAACACATCCAATTCCACCTACCTGTCGACAGCTACAACTACCGCTTGTGAACTTGTCTCCCCAAGGGCACCTTGTAGTGTAGCGAGCGTACGCTCATCCAATGCACCCGTGCTCTTCATAACATCTATAAGCATACTTGGTAGGCAAAAACCAAAAGAAAGTGGCAAACAATACTAATACTGACATTGCCGACTGCTCTCCTTGTCCTCTTTGGTTGAGGTTCCTAGACCCGTCCCTATAAGCTGCGCAAGTTCGAGCTGACTTATACATCTTATCACATCAACCCAATTGTCTTCCAGATAATCACCGTCCTCATCACCTAAACAGTAAACGATCTAGTGACAGTATAACCACAGGGACCTAAAAAAATAACTACCAATGGCTAGCAGTAGCTTGATTGCCTCAATGTTTTT